CCCTCTCAGTCCCTATCCTACCCCACAAACCCTCTCTTTTACACTACACACATACACAATGCATCCCCCCCCCCCACACACACACACAGAAACTGCATCCCCTATAAACACACTACATCCCTTACAGAAATTGGTATCCCTATACACTACATTCTATAAGAACACACACACATTGCATCCTCTACAATAACACATAAAACATCCCCTACTTACATACACTTTTTAGGGGCCCTAAAAAAAAAAAATGGAGCTGCTTCCTGTTCGTTAATTGTTGTGAGCACTGTTACAAACAGTCTCCTGAGAGCCTCTTCTACACCAGACCTGTGGAGCCAGACTGAGCCCATCATCAGCCTCTTGTCCTCATCTGGTGGTAAGTAGGCAATCCAATATATTATTAGTGGCACTAATCTCTAATTTACTGCACATTAAATAGATACTATAGTCACCAGAAGCACTACAGCATAATGTAGTGGTTCTGGTGTCTATAGCCTGTGCCTGTAGGCTTTTTAATGTAAACACACTTGTCTTTTCAGATGAAAGACACTTTGTGAAGACTGGCGTTGGCCCATATGGCAGAGCATATGGGCGGGGCATTGTGATGTCACATGGTGGGCAGGACATATGGGGGGGGGGCGGCAAATGTTTTTTTTGCCTAGGGCGGCAAAAATCCTTGCACCGGCCCTGCTTACTTGGCACACTGGGGCCCCACTTAAGGGCACCCGGATGCACTGGTTAGGGGTATCAAACAGTAAACACCTAACACTGAGCACCACACTGTGACAAGAAAGCGACCGTAGGGATAGCAATCACATACATGATCCACATGTTACTTAAGTACGAATAAGCAGCATCCCTCACCGGTGGCAGCCCTAGTCATAGACCCTACACTGTATTGTTTACTAAGAACATGGTCCTGAGTATCTAATGACACCTACCCACAACCGAAAGCATCTTACCTCCACACAATATCAGAACCACGATTTTACTCTTAATCGCAGGCTTGGTCTTACTCATGAGCACTGACATGTCTTGTATAACATAGGAAGATCTCATCTAACCTCCGACATGCCCTATCAAACGCAGTAGATATATAAAAAAAAAAAAAAAAGTGCTGTATATTCGTTAATTTTTCTCAGTCACACAAATGCATGCTTGTTCATAACCTATTTCTGCTGTTGTGGCAGAATAGGTACTTCTGTACCATTTCTGCACGATTAAATAAAGAATAAAAAAAATAAAAAAAAGCTGTGGATTAAAAATGACTAGACCCGGCACTCATAAAAAAGTTTATATTTGGAACGGACGCAGGGTAGATGGGCTCCGTGTTTACCCAGAGCAAACTGACGATTTTCAGCCACCTAATTGCCGATAATAACACCCAAACAACCCAGAACGACAATGGGAAGGAAAACTAAGAAACAAAAACCGGACCGACCCAAACAGGGTGCCAGCATAAGGGATCTCTTCACCCAAGCGCAAGGTGCATACAGCCCCAAGATGGCCACCGACCTCGAGGAATTCTCTGACTCCTCAGGGGATTTCTACCCAGAGGACGACACTACATTACCTCCAGGGAGACCCCAACGACCAGCACCAAGCATCGCGGCTGCAGAACCGGTGACGGCGATGCTGCTGAAGACTCTTCTAAGAGATTTGCAGAAAACCCTCCAGGCTGATGTCGCATAGCTACGCACAGACCTCACGGGCCTGGTGGGCCGTATTGATGCAGTCGAAGTAGCCTCTACGCGGCAAGCACAAGAAATAACGGAGCTCAGGCAGGAATTGCAGGCGCTAAAGCAAAAACAGGCCAAAACTGACCAACGCTTCGCGGCATTAGAAGACGACAGGCGCCGTAACAATCTAAAGATCCGCGGGATCCCGGAGGACATACCTGCGGAGGAAATCCCACACCTCCTACGGAGGCTCACAGGAGCCCTATTGACGCCTAAGCAAGCCAGGAACATCGGCTTTGAAGTGGCCTTCCGGGTCCCGAAACCCCGGAGAGCCCCTGAGGCAGCCCCCCGAGACCTGGTGGTGAAGTACAGAAGCGCGGCTGACAAAATGGCGGTACTCGCGGCCCTGAAGGGAGCAGCCACCTACAGCTTTGAATCGATGGTCCTGTCTTTCTTCGCGGACCTGTCAGGGGAAACTCTGCAGTGGCGCAGGTCCATGCTACCCGTCACCAAATTGCTCCGAGAGAAGCAGATTACCTACCGCTGGCGCACGCCACACACTCTACACATACAACATGATAACAAGGCCTACTCCATTTCGGACATACAAGAAGCACCCGCTTTGCTGCGCCTGCTGAGCCTACCTCTGGAGGGGCTACCGCCCATCACTGCACAGGAAGCATCAGCAACGGTTCCGAGATGGGATCCAACGAAGACAATCCCTTTCATCCCACGGGGAACAGGGAAACCCGAGTATGCAACAGTGACCACATGAGGGCCCAGCAACCGCACCGGGACATTCTTCCTCATTCCAGGACTGAAACTACGGGACTGACACCCGGGCTGAACAGTCTTGTACACCAATGATCTTTTTCTTTTTTATTTCTTGTTTCCCTAGTTTTTATTATTAGTATTAGCATTTCTCTTTTCAGTTTTGACTTTTCTGATATGCTCTCACATGTGCCTTAATTGCTGCCCTAGACACCCCATGATAGCCCTTAAGGGGACCGATTCCGGGACGCTATCACTCTCCCAAACCCGAGCAAGAAGCTCACTAAGCAGTCTCACTGCTACATTAACCTCCGTACCCACGTAGCTCACCGACAGAGTCCAGGACACAAGGAGCAGGTTTATCCCTTGGTCCCCACACCCGCACCCCCCCCCCCCACCCCAGGGTCACAGGGGACACTAACCCACTTGGCAGACCGCAAGCCTCTAGACACCCCCCAATAGACGATACTAACCTGGAAATGTTTTGCACCATCATTGTGGAAACTCCTGACTTTCACACACTTAAGCATGACTTACAGTGACAAGCCCTCAGGCTAACCTGCAGAGTAGTAGCCATACCTTAACGACAACAACAGCACACACAATGGGAATAGCAAACTGTGCAATACTTTAAATGGACACAAAGCGACGTAGTATGACAGTGAGGCACTAGCCTTATTGAATATATCACACTCGACTCACTGTCATTCACTTCAGCTAGGTTATAATATGCTACTGTTACTCGACACAAAAAAAAAAAAAAAAACTTGAGGCATTAACAATCTGGAAATGTAATTAGCCAAATGTTTTGCTGTATTAACCCTACGATGTAACTCATACATGCATTTCCCGATCTCTGTTCTGTATCCCTCACGTATGCCTTACTAAAATAAAGAATTATAAAAATGACTAGACCCTCTTACATAACAAAATATATTAATATAACTCTTGTATTTTCAATATTTTATGTAAGATAACATTGGCAAAAAATGCTGTTAGGATTTTCTTTAATTTACCCAAAGAAGGATGATTAAAGGGTTTTGAAATTCTTAATCCAGTACAGTTTTTGATTGGGCTTGGCTAGCAGCCTTAGTGTGAGTGTATTACTGGAAATTATAATTTGTGATTGACGCAGTGTCTTGATAAAAGTCTCAGGATTAAAACATTGATTTACCTACATGTACTTGAGAATGCAATAAAGTACAAAGAAAAACCTTTTTTTTTTTTTAAAGATAAAGACCTGTGTGTGTTGCCATTATTTTATTTCTACGACCTGGATGAGCACCTGGGTGTGAACAAGGTATCAATATATATTTTATTATTTAATGTTCCACTCCATGATAGGTCCACCTTATGTAGAATAGATCCTAGGAATTCTTCTTATTTATTTTTTTGTGTCTGATGATTCTACTGTTGTGGACCTCTAAATGCCAAGGGTTACTGCATGGCACTATGGGACTTGTAGTTCACAGAAGCTGAAGTGGTTATGAATTGTCTGGCTTGTGGAACTAAAAAGTGACAAAGTTATAATGTCATTACAAACTTCCTAATGCACTAACAATGTTACCAACAAGCAGATCTGTACTTCTTATGTAACAGACTCCTGACAAACACCGAACAATGTTTTAACTTTAATGTCTCATAATCTAATCTCTTCAATACAGTAGAACATACTGAATATTGAAAGACGAAATACCTGGGGGTTCTGATCGTTTATGTCCCGTTCACACTCCCGAGCATCCCGATTGAGTTGTCCATTCACCTTTGGCTGCCAATGCCCATCTGGTCCACAGATTTTGTAGACGAAGCCATGCTGCACTGAGAGTGGAGCAAATTTATTAATGGTGCAGAGATGGGTGCATGAATGGGCTACACCAGAATAGGCTGATATGTTGGTCTCCAGCTTTTGGGCCTCTACCCCATCATGGTCAGCCAGCTTCTGATTGCCCACCTCTGGAATAGTCTATAGGTTTTTGTGTGGAAGTCTAAACTCAATTGTGTGATGGCATCTTACCTTTCTTATACCAAGGCAGGTACCAGGGACAAGACATGTTGACTGTGGTATTGGGTAATGTGTCCGGCCAACATGCAAATTTATCGAATGTTCGGTTACAGACCAGATCTGGGAATATACAAAGAGAGGGTAACTTGCAGTGTCTGTATATTGAGTACATATATGGCTAGTCAGCTGTGAATGTGCATTCCCACACAGGTATATCAGTGTGTATTATTAAGCATTTACCCAATTGTCCCCAGATTATGTATGAACCACATCCTCTTGCAATGTAAGCCTAGCAGACTTACAGTTAGTCTGGAGTTATACGGCCGGCTGCATGCAATGAGTGCCCACAGTTACACTGCTAGATCAGGCTGTGAGTGCCAGTGGACAGGCAGGGATCAGGCAGTGAGTGTCCGTGTACAGGCAGCTTGATCAGGCAGTGAGTGTCTGTGGATAGGCAGCCGGATCAGACAGTGAGTGCCCATGGACAGGCAGCCAAATCAGGCAGTAAGTGCCCATGTACAGGCAGATCCTGTGGACATTAAGCTAGATCAGGCAGTGAGCCCCGTGGATATAAAGCTAGATCAGGCAGTGAGCACCCATGGACTTGCAGCTGGTTCATAAAGTGAGCACATGTGGATTTTCATCAAACGCCTACAGTCAAAGTACACCAACAACACAGCATTCAGTTATGATGACCAAAGTCCAGAAAGAAGGCATACACCAGTGCCAACACAGGCAGCTATAAAACACACTACAGCAAGTGCTGCGGCCCTTTAATTACCTGTTGGTGGTGGCACCAGGGACATGTTCAGCTTACACTCATTGTCATACTTCTTCCAGCTTTCCAACACTTGATCCGAAAGCTGAGCAGAGGAAATCTGAATAGAGAACACATGTACAGCAACTCACATCATATGAACACACGCATGGCTACTCACGTTGTGTGAATATACGCATGGCTACTCACATCATATGAACACGGATACTCATGTTTAGTATTAAACGCAACCTACGCTGTGACCAACATGGTCAATTACTACAGCAGACTTTACACAACGTGCAAGAAAACCTTGTTTCTCTCTACTTGACACACTTTTTGTGACCTAAATTTCAAACACCTGACAGGCCTTAATTATCTTTAGTACAGGACACAAACTTTCCACTCGCCTCTCGCCACCAAGGAGTAGAAATTTGCCCCTTGTGAGTGTGCAAGGGGCTCTCCAGGCTTGCAGTGTCAAGTAACTTTTCAGGTCTGGCTAGTAGCATAGAGCTTGCTGGAGTAACTGTGTCCTACTTAGTAACGAACGGCACATGGGGTCACAAATGCAAACAAACGACCAAATCAGTTACGGACATGTAGAGTTGGCTCTCAAGCAAACAAAGTCAGGCAAATTTTAACTTAGTCACCTGTACCGCAAAAGGTAAACCCCCTCTGGTATGCCATATTAAAGGAATACTCCGTGCCCCATAACCACTGCAGCTGCAGTGCAGGGCTCAGCTCATTGGATGAGAGTGGTCAGATGATGAGCAAGCCCTCCATTACAAGGTTTACATTAGGAGAGCCACTAGAAGTTCCTGTCTAAAAACTGAGCACCGCATTAAAAAGGTTGACACAGGTTATAGGCAATTTTCTGTGACAGTTTCCGTTTAAAGAGCTTTGAAAGATAGTCTGAAAAATGCTTAAAATGCTTAAAATATTTTCTGTGTGTGCATCAAGCCACACTTGCAAGATGCAAAAAGAAAAAGAAAAAAAAAAAGACATAACAGATCCACAGAATACAGAGTAGCCACGGTTAATTGAGGACTGTGTTCGCGTACCTGCCACTGCATTACTAGCACCCAGAGTAATCGAAGGAGGAGAGGATGGGGCATCCCGGAGCACTAGTAACCTCATCTGGAGAAATTTGTAGTCCCGCTTTACAGAGGTTACAGAATGAGCAGATGCTGTAGGAAAAACAAAACAAAAAAACATGAATGGGTGGCACAGATATTTAATTCCAATAATTTGTAACAGTTCATTCTGTACACACAATAAACCGCAATTCTCCTCTGCTTATAATATACCATGTCCTCTGAGTCAGATGTCCTAAAACCTGTGTGCAACATCCCAAAATATGATTTATGTTCCGGAGAAAACAATATGGAACGGCACTCAATCCCATCACTCTGTACCAGGGTGCAACCAAACCAGGTCCCAGTACCAGGAAACAAATTGCTCAGTGTTGAAGATGTAGATCAATTTATTAAACCCAAAGCCACATCACAACGTGTCAACCTACATGGTCTTTATCAAGCAGTTTGATGTGGCTGTGGGTTTAATAAATTGCCTTTTGTTGAACTTTGGAGTGCCTGGACCTATCTACATCTTCAACACTGAGCAATTTGTTTCCTGGTACTGGGACCTGGTTTGGTTGCACCCTGGTACAGAGTGATGGGATTGAGTGCCGTTCCATATTGTTTATTTATAGACTGGTATTCCCAGAGAACACACGCTATACCAAAACACACCTCTGTTCACAATGTCCCAGGATCTCCCTTTATACAATGATCTCGATTTGACGATTTATTAACTGCTTGGTATTTTAAATCCACCTTGTATATAATACCTCAGAATCCTCTTGGGGTAGTTCTGTCTTAATCCCTCCAATGAATCGAACCTATGGATATGGGATTAAAAGACAAGTACCCCTTTTATTGTGACCCCAACCTCTAACCTCTTCAGATAATTATAATTTAGAAAGATTCTCCACTAATGGCATTCACCAAGAATTGACCACAAAAGACAAAATAAAATCCAAAACATTTCACCATGCCTTCCACAGTTCTTGGGTTAAATGGAACACAAGTGTGGGGGTTTCATAGAATTATACCCACTTTAATGTGTATTCCTTATTTAAGAGCAGACATATTGTATATGAACACAAGATACCCAAAAGAAATCGGGTACATGTCAAAAATACATAATAATGGTAAATTAGCTAATAATCAAATTGGAATAAAGAATAAAAAATAAATAAAAAAAAGGCAAAATTGGAGCGAGGTGATGCAGAAGAGGATGTTATGAAGTAAGGCTTTCTGGTAAGCAGTAAATGGGCTGTGGACCAATGGTGTGAATATGCAGTGAAATGGTTAAAGGGACACTATAGTCACGAAAACAACTTTAGCTTAATGAAGCAGTTTTGGTGTGTAGATCATGCCCCTGCAGTCTCACTGCTCAATTCTCTGACATTTAGGAGTTAAATCACTTTTGTTTCTGTTTATGCAGCCCTAGCCACACCTCCCCTGGCTGTGACTGACACAGCCTGCATGAAAGCAAAATGGTTTCATTTTCAATCAGATGTAACTTACTTTAGAAGTTTTTAATCTCCTGCTCTGTACTTTGAACTTTAATTATTTACAGGAGGCTCCTACAGGGTCTAGCAAGCTAGTAACAGAGCAGAGGATTCTAACGCAAACATAATTTACAATAAAGGAAGTGTAAACATTAGATGACTCTTTACAAGAAGTGTTTAGGAAGGCTGTACGAGTCACATGCAGGGAGGTTTGACTAGGGCTGTAATAACACAGATTTAACTCCTAAATGTTAGAGAATTGAGCAGTGAGACAGCAGGGGCATGATCTATACACCAAAACTGCTTCATTAAGGTAAAGTTGTTTTGGTGATTATGGTTTCCCTTTAATATTAAATTGAAACATTTACAAACTAGGAATTTTGTGTTTCGCGTTAGATGCATGTTTAGATACTTTGTCATTCTTTCTGTATAAAAGGAGTATCAATCTACATCAATTCCTGCATGAATGCTCCACCCCCCCCCCAAAAACCTCCCCACAGTACTGAATCCGGTGGGATCTCACTCAATTGAGGTCCTGTCCAACTGTCCAGGGTTTGTTTCTAGATGAGGGACACCAGGAATCTGTCCCCAAAAAGCACATCACCAGATGCATCCAAGCTGTTTTAAAAAGTGTCAGGACACTAGGACCATTTACAAACCTCATCAGTGTTCTGTGCGTGACTGGAAAAGCCTTGAGAATTTGCCCCCCTTTTCAGGCAGATCCACCCATTTCGGACAACAGTGGCACACACTAGTCTCGATTTCATAGCCAACAGAGTTATGTGAATGCCTTCACTTGCGCATCAAGGTGAATTAAGGAGTCCATCCTTGTAAGCAGCATGGAGGTGTCTCAGCTTTAGATATTTTCCCAATTTGTAAGATGATCTGCAGACTTAAAGTGGCTCTGTCGCTTTAGGCCTCATTTTTTTTGTATTTCATAAAATCTTTCTGAAACACTCATATTGATTGTGTTGGAGAGATGAGGAACTGCTGCAGGGAAAGGGGTCAGAGGAAGATATCCTTCCATCAACAAATGATCCTAATGGCCTTGAACAGACTCCCAAGGCAGCTAAACCTTTTGGAAAGTGAGTAGAGTGTTCTCTAACTGCACTGTCAGTTTATCCATTAGATAAATATCTTTTAGTTTAAGAATACCTTTTGCCCTAGATGGAACTTGGAACCATGATTGTCCTAGTGCTGCTCTTGCCACTAGAATGATCTTGTTTAGAAGTTTATGGTCATATTTTTCATTGGCCAAGACAGGAGGAAGACCCAAGGGGTCCAGGGCAAGTTGCCTATAGAAGATGGTGGGAACCAGAGTGTGTATCTCATCCCTAAACCAACCTACTTTAGGGTAATTGCAATTTTTAACATACTTTACTTACTGTATTATCCTGCTATTTTGATTATTTATGCTGTGTTTGTTAACCTTCATCCATATTGCATTATATGATAGTAATGTTTGTTGTGAGCTCATATTGCATTATATTAGAACAGTATCAGTACTCTTTTTTTGATGGCAAAATCAAAACATTTTACACAATTTTGTACCCCTCCTTTTTGAAACCTCCTATGGGTCATATCTCGGAATGGTCCCAGTGATTCAGAATTCACCATAAGAGAGAGAGGGGGAAAAAAAAGCTAAAAAGGTATGGACATTATTTCCCCCCACCAATTTCAACCAATGCCAAGACTGGGACTACACATTTGAGAAAACATCTGTTGAGGTCACCAATTCTAAATAAAAGTCTAATCAAAAGTAGAACTGTGCCACACAACATTTACAGCTGCCCACACTGCTCAAAGTAAATAAACATTTCTAAATAAGTAAAATGAAGAAGCCATGGGTTTGTGACGTACATGGATCTAGATCAGACTGGCTCCTGGACATTAATAGCCCATCCACCAACACTGATGACAACTCTGCTAATGTCCATGATATTTTACCCTCAGGATCAAGGATTTGAGCCCCAAAGTTCAAATATGGCACCTGTCACAACGTCGACCACACAATCACACAGACCTACTATTGCCATTAATAAAATAAAATTTAAATTTTTTTTATATATATATATATATATATATATATATATCAAAATCTGAAATCATAAAATAATGTTCCAGAGATACTGTGATTAAGTATCAGTATGCTTGCTAGAAAGGTTTGGTGAATATGCAGTAAGATGCATCGATATAGATTACATAGTGCTTACACAGTCATTGTTGTTACATAACATTTACATTTTAACCTCAATGTGCTCTCAACAGAACGTCAAAAGGCAGGACACAAATGTCAGATAAACTTATTTTGATAACAGGTTTCACAGGGAGTTTCATAAATCACACAAGGCATGAGGCCAAGGGGATGTGGTGAAAATAAATATTAAAAAAAATTGGTAAGACAATGTCATGTAATAAGTGTAGATAGGCCATTGTATACAAGCAATGAGAAAGTTGGATAAGGAGAAGGCCATACACACTGGAGGATGCCATTGTATACAAGCAATGAGTAAGTTGGATAAGGAGAAGGCCATACACACTGGAGGGATGCCATTGTATACAAGCGATGAGTAAGTTAGGTAAGGAGAAGGCCATACACACTGGAGGAGGCCATTGTATACAAGCTATGAGTAAGTTAGGTAAGGAGAAGGCCATACACACTGGAGGAGGCCATTGTATACAAGCTATGAGTAAGTTAGGTAAGGAGAAAGCCATACACACTGGAGGAGGCCATTGTATACAAGCGATGAGTAAGTTAGGTAAGGAGAAAGCCATACACACTGGAGGAGGCCATTGTATACAAGCTATGAGTAAGTTGGGTAAGGAGAAGGCCCAGACACTGGAGGAGGCCATTGTATACAAGCTATGAGTAAGTTAGGTAAGGAGAAAGCCATACACACTGGAGGAGGCCATTGTATACAAGCGATGAGTAAGTTAGGTAAGGAGAAGGCCATACACACTGGAGGAGGCCATTGTATACAAGCTATGAGTAAGTTGGGTAAGGAGAAGGCCCAGACACTGGAGGAGGCCATTGTATACAAGCGGTGAGTAAGTTAGGCAAGGAGAAGGCCATACACACTGGAGGAGGCTATTGTATACAAGCGATGAGTAAGTTGGGTAAGGAGAAGGCCATACACACTGGAGGAGGCCATTGTATACAAGCTATGAGTAAGTTGGGTAAGGAGAAAGACTTGTAGGTCAATAGAGCTAAGCTAAAAAGCATGGAGGTTAAGCTAGTAGAAAATAAAATTAAATACAATTATGGCACAGGAGGGACCTTAAGGAAGATGAAGTGATTTACAAGACTTGATGGTTCCTTAAAGACTACAAAAATCTGGATTGTACGTTTTGGTTAGCCCCCCCCCTACAGCAGAAGTGTTAAAGTGAGAACTCTAACTTGAGAAGAGGTTCGTGCAGAGAGTGAGTGTAACGGATGTATTTTAATCTGATTTGAGCATTGTAATTTGTAATCAGGAAGAGTATTAGTCCCCCAAATCTCAGCCTGCAGAGCCATAGGCTCCAATAAAACAAGAGACTTGATGATTAGGCAGAATAAATCCTCTCACATTTTTACAAGTAATCCGTCTACGGCTTGTGTTTGTTAAATAGAGACACGTAACGTTTTCACAAACTCTCTGCAGCCCCAGGGGCTGCATTCCTGCTTCAGATTGCGACACAGACACCTGCAGCCAGAAATAACCTTAAATAAATACATGTTCTAAGTAGAAGCCCAGTTTTATATTGTGTTGTATAGAAAAAACAAATGTGTGCTTTGGTTTTTGTCATTACAATAAGCTTACTTTGATAAACTTGAGCTCATTGCTATGTTTATAGTGATGGCCAAGCCAAAATCTAGCAGCAGAGTCAGTGTGGGAAACCCACATTATTCGAGTGACAGAGTACACATACATTGTTGGAGTTTGAGACGCTTCCCTGCTCAAATCACTATATAACCTCGTCAAGTTCGGGAGTATCTCTCCCTGTTGTGTGTAGTGCAGGGCTTGACAAACGTGCCTGGAATCTAGGAGCCAACTAAAAGAGATAGAAACTAACAAAGTATTATTTACAATGATGAAAATACAATTCCGAAAGGGACATTATAGTCACCAGAACCACTACAGCTTAATGTGGTTGTTCTGGTGTCTGTAGCATGTCCATGCAGGTTTTTCAGAGAAAAAGGCAGTGTTAACATTGCTGGCTATTAACACCTCTAGTGACAGTCACTCAGATGGCCACTAGATGTGGTTATTAGTCCAGTTCTCCACGGTCTGTGCCTCCACGCTCTGCATGGAGGCGCCAAATGTTCCCCATAGAGATGCATTGATTGGATCCTAGGAGAAAGTCTAATAGAACGCATTCCACAAAAAAAGTTGCAGCCCCGGAGAAGTCCTGTAGATGAGAATTAGCAGACGAATACAAGAAAAGGTCATTGGTGGAGCGAAGGGAATGAGAAGAGTATATTTGTGGGTTAGAGAGGAAATATAATGGCACCAGCATTTATAACAGATTGTAACGGGACTTTGTGGGGAAAGCCAATGCGGAGTGAGTTACAATAATCAAGGCATGAGATGATGAATGAATGATGGAAAAGGTGGTAGGTCCATGTATCATCAGCATACAAGCGATATTGAAACCCAAAGTGCTCAATTGGTAACACAGAACTTGGGATATTTACTAATCGTCTCTTAATGGCCACATTCAATGTGTTTGGAGTGTTTTCAACACATCACTTTTCTGGCATATAACAGAAAAAAAAAAAAAGAAAAAAGGGCATATAGTGTTATTAACCCAACAGGTGAGTATAAAAATGTCACGCTACAAAGCCAAAAAAATTACATAACCTACAACAACATTATCACTGTAAGAAATAAGTAAAGCAGCGTGCAATGAAGAAAAAAATGAGGTGGGGGAAATATTAAAGAAAGAAAATTGCAATTGTGCCCCTTGGTGTTTACACGTATAAAACCCATTCGGCATTCGGTTATCTTAGCACATACCATCGGAGTGCTGAAGCAAGAGAAAGACCAAAAGAGGATCAAGCAAAGTGTTAGAAATAGCGTCATTATTTAAACATCTCACCCAATGTTTCAAAAAAATCTGACACTGTTTATAATTGGAAAAAATCTACTGTTAAAGGCAGTTTATAAAGTGCTACTGATAGTAACAGGGGGAACAAACGGATTCTAACTTTAGCCCTACTAATGCTCGCTGAGTACGTAAAACGTGCTGCGATGCATACCCTCACTGAGAGTTATGGGATTTGACGACTACGTTCCCAGTCGGACCTTGTCCAACTATAGGCACTGCATGGCATTGTGACAGCTAAAGGTCATATGGAAAAGGCACTCTGGTATTAGGTTTCTCTGACATGCAGATCAGCAGTCACACTACAGCATAAAGGAAATGTTGTGTACAGATCAATTCTGGGGCAAATTCCATTTGTGGAACACTTGTCAGGAATAAACCACTGTTCTCCACTGAGATTGCTCAGATTTTAGAACTTTGCCCCGTGTACTGCTCTGTAAATATAACATCTACCACCTACTACTCCACAAGTCCCCAATCCCTGTGCTGCCCACCAGTATATTAACATTATCATCCAATTAAATGTCGTGTCATTTTTACAACACAGACACTCGTATAGCCAAATTATTAGCAAATGTGTTGATCATATTCAACAACAGCACACTATGAATCGGCACACATACCTCCAAAGCAAAAAGCAGTAAGCACACGTTTGATAAGATCATTTGATTTAGGCGTACAATGGCTATTTTACTTTCCAATTATACTGATGAACACAGATATGTCAAGTTTTTATTGAGAACGTAATAAAAAGCCACAGGTTTTCAAACTTTGTGTACTTTAGAGACTATCTCACGAGTCGCTTGCTTTGAGGATCTCTAAGGCTCTTGTGCCTAAACCCTCCTGAGCCAATCACATTATACAGCAAGGGAGACCAATTCACAATCTAATTTTGCAACCAGGAAGACAAGCCCATGATTTTAAATACATTTGTACAATTACTTGATAGTGGGACATGTTAGAAAAATGTGGAGGGGTGGGGGGAGGGTAACAAAAAACACCATATACATAAACCTAGGGAAAGAATTTTATTATGTAAAACGTAAGCACACGACAGGTCAGCTTTAGATTGTTTTAATTATTGCATATTTAATAATTCCTCACACATTTTGTGTGTGACATTTCATTGCTCTCTAATGCGTTTCAAGTCTACGTAGAAATATTCAATGTTGCCAAAATCGTGAAGAATTCCATAAACAGATCTGTATGTATGTAAGCTTTAACCAAAGACAAACAACGTATTTCCTTTTTGTGTACAGTAGGATTACAATGTATTTTCTCCTATGTTATTCCAATGGCCCTTTAAATAAAAGGGGGATAATCTGATTAATAAGGAGACTGCAGCAGGGGGAAATCTCAGGAAAAGGTCACGACACGGGCTGCTACCTTTTACAGTGCGCACGGGAAACAGTTATAATTGCTAAATAATTACAAGAGTTTTCAGTACCAAGTATGACCTCTGATCTCTCGGTAGCTCAGTATCTGAAACCAAAGCAGCATGCCACGACACCTGTAGAGATGAAAAAAAAAGATCGCTGAACTGCGTTCAGTGCACATTCCGCAGAGATTAAGGGGACTGCGGCGCCTGACTGCCAAGCACACATTAGCAGAACATCCTGTCACCCGATTACACTGTAACCCTCTTTTTATAACCAGGAAATCTAAAACATAGGACTAACTCGGGTGTCTGAGCATTCAAAATGGCCTACAGTGGCGTAAGAAGACCATCTACTGTATTGTGATAATGCTCATGCCACTGTACGTACAGTACAGGGCCCCCGATTTACATTGTCTGCCTGTAAAAACAGAATTCTCAAGTGCCCCCCAATTCTCCCCCTTCCCCACAAAACCAGCCAAAAAAAAAAAAAAAAATATTTACACTTGTAGTATATTGTGTTAGCACCTGTGAGTATAGTAAGTGTATGTAACTGTAAATGCATGCCGTGTTTGGGATAATGAGGGATATTGTTAGATACTGGTTAATGCCAATGTTAGAGTACACAGGGTGTTGATGTTAAAAGGATTACAAGCTTTGAGAGGGATTATAGTTGTGGTATAAGGGGAGCTTAGAATTATTGGGTTTAGATTTAGAGTAACGCTTTAATGTAAACATTGTAGTTTCTCAAAAACTGCAATGCAGGGTTAGGAGAACTGGGACACTGCACCAGACCACTTCAACGAAATGAAGTGGTGTGGATGTCTATAGTGTCCCTTTAACCTTCTTTTATTTCAAATTCTGTTGTTTAGAATTTCTTATCTCTTGCACTGTTAATAGCTTTTTTTAGACCTTCCAGGAACCCCCTGTATGTGATTAAAAGTCAATTTACAGAGCAGGAGATAAAAACGTCTAAAGTAAGTTACCATCTGAATGAAAACAAAACCTTTTTTTCATGCATGCTGTGTGAGTCACAGCCGGGGAGGTGGGACTAGGGCTGCATATACAGAAACAAATGTGATTTAATTCCTAAAAGGCAGAAAATTGAGACATGAGAATGCAGGAGCATTCTCTATACACCAAAACTGCGTAGAAACTGCTATGTTTATTATTATTATTATTTTATTATTTATATAGCGCCAACAAATTCCGTAGCGCTATACAATGGGTGGACTAACAGACATATAATTGAGATCAGACCACTGACGTACAGGAACAGAGGGGGTTGAGGACCCTGCTCGATGAGCTTACATGCTAGAGGGAGTGGGGTATATTGACACAAAGGGTTAAAGTAGGGGAATTAAATAGTTTGTTACAGAAGGGTTTATTGAGTGCTTGGTAGGTCATTTTTGACAGGTGATAATATAGGGTTAATCCAGCCTCTAGTGGCTGTCTCATTGACAGCCACTAGAGGCGCTTTCGCGCTTCTCACTGTGATTTTCACAGTGACAAGACGCCAGAGTCCATAGGAAAGCATTGAGAATGCTTTCCTATGGACTGGCTGAATGCGCGCGCGGCTCCTGCCACACATGCGCATTCAGTCAATGACGTCGTTATGGAGGAGGAGAGCTCCCCGCCCGGCGCTGGAAAAAAAGAGGAAAATTTAACCCCTTCCTCCCCCTAGAGCCCGGCGAGATGGGGACCCTGACTATAGTGGTCCTTTAAGTATTGGGGTACATCGGATATTTCAGGAGTCAAACCTAGCCAAAGGATTAAGGTGAATAAAGGATTTTTTCCAGGTTTAGACATTAAGGTTTTTCATCTAAGGGGCAGGGCCATGCACAGATCACTGTGTTCAGTCTGAGGGGGCAGGGCCATGCACAGATCGCTGTGTTCAGTCTGAGGGGGCGGGGCCATGCACAGATCACTGTGTTCAGTCTGAGGGGGCAGGGCCATGCACAGATCACTGTGTTCAGTCTGAGGGGGCGGGGCCAGATCACTGTGTTCAGTCTGAGGGGCGGGGCCATGCACAGATCACTGTGTTCAGTCTGAGGGGGCGGGGCCATGCACAGATCACTGCGTTCAGTCTGAGGGGGCGGGGCCATGCACAGATCACTGCGTTCAGTCTGAGGGGGCGGGGCCATGCACAGATCACTGCGTTCAGTCTGAGGGGGATCACTGTGTTCAGTCTGAGGCGGGGGCCATGCACAGATCACTGTGTTCAGTCTGAGGGGCCATGCAGATCACTATGTTATTCAGTCTGAGAGGCAGAGCCATGTTCAGTCTGGCCGGGATACATGTTTAGAGCGCTGTGTTCAGTCTGAGGGGGCGGGGCCATGCACAGATCACTGTATTACATTTGATACATCTTGTTACACAGGCTTTAATGTTGTAGTTGTCCTTACGGCATTGCAACTTACGGTAGTCACTGTGCAGACTTGTATCATGTATGACTAACGTATTTTACTGCTTTGAGTTGATGTGTCTTTTATCTGGTGGTATTATTAAATGTTATCTTTATCATATTTAAGATTGCTTTACTCATTCATTCCCCTATAGAAGCGCTCACACTATATTTGTTTTTTACTTATTACCTCTATTGATCGGATGAATAAAATAATGTTGATAATAATAAGATAATTAATAATATAAGATATTATATATAAAAATTCCATGCTATGATTCGCGACCTGGCTAGTAGGTTATTTCACTTCTGAGAAATTAGAGAACATCTAAAGACACATACGATCACAAAGCTCAAAGAAATATCAGGCAGCCAACGTAACATATTTTGGAGTCATGTAAAGAGCCTACTTACTTTCTGAGGAAATATAGAAAACAGTTAGAAAGCATAGAGGTATATTACCCAACCTTAGAGGTGGTTGGATTTAATGCGAATACCTGAACAGAGGTGGAAAGTCACTAACACCTGAACACAGGTAAACTGGAGTAATACCAGAAAAAAAAAAGGATGTGATCAGAATGCAAAAATAACTATACAACAAAGCAGTAATCAGAAATCAGAAATAAAAAAGTCAAAATACACAGTTATTCACAAAACTATGAAGTGTACTGAATTAAATCCGAATTCCATATTAAGGCTTAGATAGGACTTTATCGGAGACAGTGTGTGGACAAACTATACAGAGAGATATTTAGTAGGTGGTCAGGGCTGGATCAGAACACGTTATACAGGAGATATTTAGTAGGTGGTCAGGGCTGGATCAGGACACGTTATTCTGGAGATATTTAGTAGGTGGTCAGGGCTGGATCAGGACATGTTATTCTGGAGTTATTTAGTAGGTGGTCAGGGCTGGATCAGGACACATTATACAGGAGTTATTTAGTAGGTGGTCAGGGCTGGATCAGGACACGTTATACAGGAGTTATTTAGTAGGTGGTCAGGGCTGGATCAGGACACATTATACAGGAGATATTTAGTAGGTGGTCAGGGCTGGATCAGGACACATTAGGTGGTCAGGGCTGGATCAGGACACGTTATACATGAGTTATTGAGTAGTTGGTCAGGGCTGGATCAGGACATGTTATACAGGAGATATTTAGTAGGTGGTCAGGGCTGGATCAGGACACGTTATAGAGAGAGATATTTAGCAGATGGTCTGGATCAGGACACGTTATAAAGGTTATATTTAGTAGGTGGTTAGGGAGGAATCAGGATAATTTATTCAGCTTATATTTAGTAGATAATCTGGAAGGAATCAGGATAAATTATACGGGAGATATTTTGTAGGTGGTCAGGGAGGGATCAGGACAAGTTATGCGTGAGATAAAGTGAGATTTGTTAAAACAACTCCAAATAATTTTACAGCATAGTAAAACCTTGCAAAGGGGAAATGTGTGTATTAATTACCATTATTATTGAAACATAAATAGGATTATGAAAAGAGGAACCCTTCAAATGGTATTTGGTTACTAGAGATAAGGTGAGAAGGAAGAGGATGCTAATGAACATTTATGTAAAAATTGACCCATATTAATACCATGGATAAATAAAATGTAGTGTTGTGAGGGAGTGGTGGGGGTGGAAATAGGAGTGTGACGGACCGCTGTCACTGTGTGCCATGCCCTCTACTTATTTGCGTGTTTTCCCCTGTGCAATGTACGGTTTCCCATGTATTTGTATTTATTTTGTGTTATTTACCCTGTTGACCATTCGGGAGTGCTCCTGCGAACGGAACCCGGTCATCTTCTGAACGCGGACCCCCCGGTACCCCAGTAGAATGTTCACACTAATCAATCCGAACGTTCGCGCCTGCGACATAAGTGTGAAACCGCAAGGGAAGTAATTAATAAGTGCTCCCCTGGGTGGCCGCCATTCATATAGGCGAACGCCCCCCAGGGGGAGCATTTGTATCCCGAAAGGAGATGTTTCCTTTGCGGGGTCTTCAAACTGGAGATTGGTGGGGACACTGTTGGGGTACTGGTGGTTTGGATCGTTCTACCTGCTCCTAACAGAGTTATAATCACTGCTTTCCCCTCCCAGGAGCTGCAAGGCCATTTCTCCTGATTGGGCGGCAAAACCCCTCTCCTCCCTGAGCACTGATTGGCGCAAATTGGTTTTCCCGCCTTTCAAGTGATTGGCTGTTTGGTTTAGGCGCAAAGTTTGAATTCACCGGACTAAACCAAGCAACGCTGTGGAACTATTTTCGAGGATGCACAGAGCCCCTTCAAAATCTAATTAGAATCAAATAATAATGTGGAATTGTAGAATTAAAAGGGACACTATAGTCACCAAAACCACTACAGCTTAACGTATGGGACTGGTGTCTACAGACAGTCAATGCAGTATTTTAAATGTAAAAGTCGAATTGGTAGAGAAAATGCAGTGTTGACATTGTTCTCTAGTAACACCTCCAAGTGCTGTCACTCAAACGTACACTAGAGGCACTTCCTCATTTCATATCTTCCAACATTTCAAATGGACAAAGACGGATACTTTAGTTTTTAAGATGTGAGTAAGTGTGAGGCCAGAGGCGGGGCTGTTCTGAGAAATTTTAGGTGACTTGCTAATAACAGAAACTGCAATGTAATTTATAAAAGGAATAATGTATCTTATTTACTGATTTCTAAAACACATTTATTATAGTTTAAAAACCCATTACTGTATTGATGTGGAGCATGGACTTAAATTCTGATACACTAAGAATACTTAGCTCCCAGAAAAGGAGTTAGGATAGAAAAGATGGACAGAGGGATCTGAGCCAAATGTAGGGACTGTCCCTCTTAAACAGGGGCACTTGGGAGGTATGTAATTTCAGTCCTGCAGTATTTTCAGGACACATGTTCGATGTCTTCAAGCTCTGATTGAGGACATTGAACAAAGCATTAGGACATTGCAGGCACTGTGAGCGGTGAGCAATAAGTGATTCATTGGACGACAAAAAGTAACTGATTAAATACTAGGTGTTTTGGGCTGCGGATCTAGATGCTGGATTAGAGGTAATTTTTTTTAAATATAAAAACAATGTCTGAATGAAGCAAAGTGGGGTGACGATTATATATCTAAAAGAAAAAAAAAAAGAAGACACGTAGACTAGAAATAAAAGTTTTGTGAATTTGACTATAGTTTCCCTTCAAGAGGGTGTTATAAAATCTGGGGTTCATTTATTCTGCAGGGCAAGGGTATCTTGTAAGCATTTATAAATCAAGCAGCATGGGCAAGGTTTAAAGGGTGTGGATTATTGCAAAACATTACGTCACAATGGGGCATTCCAGCTTGCCAGATGCTATTCCAAACACTATGACCACTTCACTGACTTGAAGTGGTATTGGTGCCCGGAGTCTGTATGTGCAGAGGTTTGGTATGCAATGCTACACTTACAGAGCTTAATCCCTCTGTAACTCTACCTGCAGCTGCGTCATTGGAGCGTCATTAGCTAGCCCAGTACAAGGGTTCTCGGTCACTAATGTGAATTTGGCATCACAAATTAATGTGATTTGCAAAATTGAGGCTAAAATAGGCTAGCTGTAATTACAGAGGACTTGGAAAACCTTTTTCACCATTTATTTAATCCTTAATTTTGCAATTTGTATTTATTTCACCAAAATTCAGAGTTTGGTGAATATAATATTACAGTGATGGTGTCCCACTGGCTGGTAAAAAAACAAATGTGCTCACATCAAATTGTGCCCAGATAATGAGGACCTTTGCTTCTTTATTATCGTTACTGATCCGGTGACATTTTGGCAGTATTGACCAGATGTGATTATTGAGGCAGCCTAGCATAGGTAGAAATAAACCGCTTCTAACTCTATTCGACTAAACTTCCTCACGCTCCAAAGACAAACTCATCCCACAAAAAAAAAAAAAAATTTCAAGGACTTAGTGAAAATATATAATCTGAGTGCTTAGTGATATACTGAAAGCAAGATTGTTTCTTTACTTCACTTCATAAATAAAACGATTTGACAGACTTTGTAACTTTCCAGTTGCACAAACAGGTGAAATCTCCAGACAGACAACATTGAAAAAACGAAGCTATTTCGGAGGCCTTGACAGTGGGAAACATTGATCTCCCACAGTTCACCTTTATTTACTAATCCTCCTGAACGGTAGGGGAGTAACTGTGAGCTGAAGCTTGCCTTATCTCGAGTGCACTCCACTCCAACGGTTGCCAGAGCACCTAATGCTTTTGTCACTGAGAAACCTTGACTTTTTTAGACACCTCCAAAACAGAGACAGCCCCCCAACCGAGCTAAATTTGGGGAATTTCGCAGTTACCAAATCATGCCAGCAAGACTCCCTCAAACTGTGAAACCCAGAACAGGTGGGAAGGTTTTCCATAATGACGGCATTTAAGACAACAAGGAACACCTTCCGAGATTAACTCTCAGTGTACGATGCAAATAATGGTGATAATTATCTATGTTTTAAATTGATAGTTGTCACAGTTAGGCTTCTTTCAATTCTTAGAGAATTTTTTAAATCTTGTCTCACTGCTATTTAGCTGCCCACTGACTTCAGTAACCACAAGGCCTGGGGTTCACATCCACCAATAACTGCAAGGCCTGGGGTTCGCATCCACCAATAACTGCAAGGCTTGGGGTTCGCATCCACCAATAACTGCAAGGCTTGGGGTTCGCATTCACCAATAACTGCAAGGCTTGGGGTTCGCATCCACCAATAACTGCAAGGCTTGGGGTTCGCATCCACCAATAACTGCGAGGCTTGGGGTGCACAACAACCAATAACTGCAAGACTTGGGGTGCACAACCACCAATAACTGCAAGACTTGGGGTGCACAACCACCAATAACTGCAAAACCTGGGGTGCACATCCACCAATAACTGCAAAACCTGGGGTGCACATCCACCAACAACTGCAAGACTTGGGGTGCACATCCACCAACAACTGCAAGACTTGGGGTGCACAACCACCAATAACTGCAAGACTTGGGGTGCACAACCACCAATAACTGCAAGACTTGGGGTGCACAACCACCAATAACTGCAAGGCTTGGGGTTCGCATCCACCAATAACTGCAAGACTTGGGGTGCACAACCACCAATAACTGCAAGACTTGGGGTGCACAACCACCAATAACTGCAAGCACTTGGGGTGCACAACCACCAATAACTGCAAGACTTGGGGTGCACAACCACCAATAACTGCAAGACTTTGGGTTTGCATCTGCCAAAAACTGCAAGACCCTGGGTTCGCATCCACCAATAACGGCAAGACTTGTGGTGTGCAGCTACCAAGATTCTGAAAGTGTCAAAGTTCTAAAATAGGTGCAATCAACGGAATCTAACTGGATTCACTGAGATTTTTCCAGTGTTAGAAATGTCATTTCTATTTGTATAAATCTTCCCCTTGGTGTAGAATGAGTTTGTGTATTTACTGGCGCAGTGTGGAAGACATACCCCCCACACAGATACTGCATGTAGACACTCTTAATATACACATTACGCAGCTCATTAGTTGCTGACGGTATTATTTGCACAACCAACAAAATATGCCATCAACCCTTTCACTGCCAAAAGCTAAAAATGATTCAAAGCATTAATGCCAGGGCTACACTGAAACTACATGACAAAGCGAGTTCTGATCGCACTCAAACACAGAGTCTCTGGAGACTACTGCTGTGTTTTGCAGTTTGAGTTGGAGCCCAACGGACAGAGACTGCTGATAACAGAGAATACACAGACTCCATCTCGGAGATTGCCGGCTCCTGTGGACGTCATGCCTGGCCACTGAATGTGACTGGGACGCACACTACACTGTCAGCGCCCTGGGAGGTCCAATGGGAGAGGAACTCTGACGATTTGTGACCATAATTATGCCACAATGGGAGAAGGGGGGCAGAGGACAACAAGGGTCTACACATTGCCTGTACCTCACAGAATTAGGGGATGTTAACACAGTTCCTTTGGGGGGGGTCCAAAATCGTACATTATATACTAAGCCATACTAACGGAGTCTTTTAGCATTCTATAGTATAGAACGCTTATTGTATTCGTTAAAGTTAGAATTGTGGAGCAAAATGACAAAACACAAATTAACAAAAAACCCTGTTATTATCCAGCTCATCTAAAATGTTCAATTTAGCAGTAATTTTCCCGTTTAGTGAATAAATGCTCCAGTATATTAATATCCACAGATCACAATGGCTTGGAGCTACTGCCAAGGCTCAAAACATTGCTTTACGCAAAGACCTCATTAAAGCGTTATACACTCTACTGATCTATGTAGTACAAAAGCAGTGATGAGTCACCTTTGACACTTCATTCACTAGACAACTGTACTTGGGATTTTCAGCCAGACAGAGAGGGTCACCCCCGTTTTGGGCCAACTGTGGAAGATCTGGTTGATTTCTGCAGGCCATATATAACTCTCCTCCATTAACCTTGATTTATGCACAGATTATAAAACCAGTTTGGACGGAGGGTTCCAAAGAATACATTTAGCCAAGAATAAACAAATGATACAAAATGCACAAAAATGTTGCTAAAATATGCAAAATATATCGACCTTTAGTGAACTGACCCAGCAGGGTTACACAGCTTAGCAAGAACCGATTCTGCAAACTGGCATTACGAGATAAGGAAGATGTTTCTTTCCCCCAAAATAGAGAAGAAATTATAAACACGGGGTTAATAAAAAGGGAAACTAATATCTGGGCTTTTTATTTAAAGAGGCAGAATAGGCATCACAGCCACTAAGCATCAATACTGAAACATGATCAGCCCAGACATAGATTGTCAGATATTCAGTGATTGATCTTAGGATCTGACAGTGAATGACAGAAAACATTTATTAACTAGTACGAGAATTATAGAAAATCAACAAGATTGTTGGAATCTGTTGGCCAGTTTAGTAAAACAAAATGTTTTGGGATTTTTTCAGCTCGGCAACTGTGAGTTAAAATGAGCAATTCCTTTGGTGATTTGCCACAATTTCCATTTAGTAATTAAGCCCCTAATACTAGTTTATCTTCTATCACTGCCCACACTATGACTGAACAAACACTCTCCGCTTTATGATACTTTCTTATCTAATGAAATATTTTCTAAAATGCTTCTCCGCTACCAAGACTCCAGTCCTCGTATAGTTAGGGATCCCAGTTATTCCACTAACAGTTACCTTCTATGGGATAAATGTCAAATGTCCCTATTTAGGAGGGACAGTCCCTATTTTGGGCTCAAATCCTACCGCCCCTCTTTTATATCCCAATGTCCATTCTTTTCAGAAAACTCTGTGTGAGTGATTGAATACCAGAGCTCCACAGAAATAATATCTACAGTAATATGTCTTTAAACTACAACAAATGTAAATAAAATGTTTAGAAATCAGTCTGTATAAATATGAGATGCGTTGATTTTGTTAAAATTATACTTTGTTGCATAAATTGTTATTAATGATTACCTAAAATTTCCCAGAACAGACCTTGTAGTGCTTGCAGTGTTCCTATAAATTGTAACATCAATATCCTTCTAGTGCAGAAGATACTGGGGTATTGATTAATTGCCCTTTCTCCAGTGTGAGCTGCTGTGCTCACTGAGTATTCTACACACAGCAATAAGCATGTCTAACTGCTTGGATCAGTGGCAGCAACCGAATACGCACTGCCTAGAGGAGGGGACTGACCTGCACTCACTGATAACAAAAAGGCCTGGTCGAAATTAAAGCCCTGATCGAAATTAAAGTTGTAAACTATACCGCTTTACCTTTTATAGCATTGCTGTGTAGCACGTATGAATATATACAATGAATAAAAAACAGCCAAGCACTATAGATAATTCCGCTCCCACACATCTGCAGTGCCAACGTAAGCCATCATTAAGGATAAATGGCATGCAATGGTTTTAACAATGGATGCTGGAGCATTCTACGAGAGATAGAATTTTAGCAATAAATACCAGCCATGAATATTACCATAACGATAAAAAGGATCCGTTCAATCAGAGGCAAAGCAGTTAAAAACCACACAAAACCAAATCCGTATAGTACCCCATGTATTCTGGCCATACACAGAAATATGGTGTCACGCCTGGGTGGAAGCGTTAAAACTCCTCTCGGGCTAAAGTTTTCCTTTAGAGGTTTCAGTAAATTGTTAATATCTCCATTTGGTACTGGATTACATTTCCCAGGAGACATTTTATATACAATCACTTTATAAGCAAAAGCATTGAAATACAGGACACGATTACTTTAATAATGCGGAAACGTACCTAGACACAGACACTCAATTCAATTAGCCAGGGATATACACAGATATTGGGCACTTACCCCGATAGCCACAGGAATGACCCAGACATAGACTTTCCGCTCAAATTGTCATCAATACACTATTTGGGGTTTATTCACTAAATCAAAACTTCCACAATCCCAGTTAATCTTAAAACAGGGAAACTCATCGCCAATCTCATCTAATCCAAAAGTATTGATACAAACCTGATTCTGATCTAACCCTACCATACATAACCCGACCCCCAATCTGATCTAACCCTACCATACATAACCTGATCCCAATCTGATCTAACCCTACCATACATAACCTGATCCCAATCTGATCTAACCCTACCATACATAACCTGATCCCAATCTGATCTAACCCTACCATACATAACCTGATCCCAATCTGATCTAACCCTACCATACATAACCTGATCCCAATCTGATCTAACCCTACCATACATAACCTGATCCCAATCTGATCTAACCCTACCATACATAACCTGATCCCAATCTGATCTAACCCTACCATACATAACCTGATCCCAATCTGATCTAACCCTACCATACATAACCTGATCCCAATCTGATCTAACCCTACCATACATAACCTGATCCCAATCTGATCTAACCCTACCATACATAACCTGATCCCAATCTGATCTAACCCTACCATACATAACCTGATCCCAATCTGATCTAACCCTACGGTACATAACCTGATCCCAATCTGATCTAACCCTACGGTACATAACCTGATCCCAATCTGATCTAATCCTACCATACATAACCTGATCCCAATATGATCTAATCCTACCATACATAACCTGATCCCAATCTGATCTAATCCTACCATACATAACCTGATCCCAATCTGATCTAATCCTACCATACATAACCTGATCCCAATCTGATCTAATCCTACCATACATAACCTGATCCCAATATGATCTAATCCTACGATATGGAACCTGGTCCAAGTCCTTACTATAGTAAACCAAATTCTACAATATGAAACTTGATCCAAATACAATCTAACCCTACGATACGTGACTTGATCCCAATCTGATCTAATTTTACAATAGGGAAAAAAGGAACATGAAATTGATGGGAATTCATAGTAAATTTAAAATTCCGAGCCAAAATAGACAAACTGAGAAAATTCTCCTATTCAGCCATTCTTTCAATTCTGCTACGTTGGCCTTAAATTTCACATTGACTTTGAATTGAATTGCTGGCAATTCTCACACTGTCTGTATCCCTCTACACCCAGTCCACCAATACTCTCTCAGAGGTTCTTCACAAAAATTTGAAAAAAAATAATTAGCTTACATCTCCATATTGGAGTAAAAAATCAGTCCTCCAATCCAATGTTGCTCTTGGGAGAGTGGCATTTTGCCACGCATGCACTCTCCAATCCAATGCTTCTCTATAAGAGGCATTTTATTGGGCAAAATCTCGGGTAACGTCAGTATTCTTGCTATCATCACCAGAGGCGTACCTGGAGACTATAGTGGAGGAGTCCCGGTGCTGGAAACAAGGTGAGTAATATTTATTTAGAATATTTTTTACAAGGCAAAGGGGTTGGACAGTGTGCCCATTGCAAGAAGGAAGCCTGTAGTCCCAAAATAACAATTGTTATTTTCAGGACTAGAGATTTCCTTAAATGTCAATATAGCCACACTGGAAACAGTGTGTAGATCAGGTATGTTTTCAGTTGTTCTACTGTGAAGTTAAAGGAACACTATAGGGTCAGGAACACAAACATGTATTCCTGACCATATAGTTCTAAAAACACTCTATGCCCCCCCCCTTAAACATCAGAAGTGGTGATCTTAGCCAATCACAATGCGGATCCAAACACCCACCTGGCCAATCAGCATTTCCTAATAGAGATGCATTTAATCAGTGCATCTCTATGAGGAAAATTCAGTGTCTTCATGCAGAGAGTGGAGATACTGATTGTCAGTCACACTGTGCAGCACTGCCCCAGGAGGCACCTCTAGTAGCCATCTGAGGAGTGGCCAGTGGAGGTATGAAAAGACAGTGTTAATTGCAAAAAGCCTGCAGGGACTGACACTAGAGGTGCTTCCCTGTTCACTACTGCAAATTGTGCAGCACTGAAATTCATCGTCTCTATACTCTGTCACACACTGATATTAGGCAGCAAGAGGCATGTATTCAGTTCAATCTAACGTTTTGTTTGTCTCCTTAAAGGAACACTAGAGTCACTAGAACAATTACAGTTTAATGTTAGCTGTTCTGTTGTCTATAGCCTGTCCCTGCTGCCTAGGAACACCTCTAGTGACCGTCACTCAGAGGGCCACTAGATGTGCTTCATGGGTCAATGCTGCACAATGTGCAGCAATGACGTTCAGCGTCTCCACGCTCTGCATGAAGACGTTGAACGTTCCCCATAGAGATGCATTTATTCAACGCATCTCTATGAGGAGATGCTGACTGGCGCAGTAAATTGCCTCGCATGCACGATAGTCTCCCTATGGGAAAGCATTGGATTGGCTAAATCATTATGTTTAATGGTCTCAGCCATGCAGCCATTGCAGGACGGCGCCAACTGCGAAAAAAACAGTGTGGAGTGGGAGAAAAGGTGAGTAAAACCACCTTTTATACCACTGACCTAAGAGGTGGGTTTAACACTATAGTGTCAGGAATACATGTTTGTGTTCCCGAAACTATAGTGTTCCTTTAAATTTGAAATTCACTTTGAATTCTCACTTTACTAGATATCACTGTCTGTATTATTTCACATCCAGACCCCCAATACTATCTGAATCTCCTCACACCCAGTCCTCAATAATATCTATATTACCTCACAGCCAGTCCCCCAATACTATCTATATTACCTCACACCCAGTCCCCCAATACTATCTGTATCCCCTCACAGCCAGTCCCCCAATACTATCTGTATCCCCTCACAGCCAGTCCCCCAATACTATCTGTATCCCCTCACACCCAGTCCCCCAATACTATCTGTATCCCCTCACAGCCAGTCCCCCAATACTATCTGTATCCCCTCACACCCAGTCCCCCAATACTATCTGTATCCCCTCACAGCCAGTCCCCCAATACTATCTGTATCCCCTCACAGCCAGTCCCCCAATACTATCTGTATCACCTCACACCCAGTCCCCCAATACTATCTGTATCACCTCACAGCCAGTCCCCCAATACTATCTGTATCCCCTCACAGCCAGTCCCCCAATACTATCTGTATCCCCTCACAGCCAGTCCCCAATACTATCTGTGGGTCCCTCACACCCAGTCCCCAATACTATCTGTATCCCCTCACAGCCAGTCCCCACACTATTCCTCCAGGTCCTCACAGCCAGTCCCCAATAATACTATCTGTATCCTCTCACACCCAGTCCCCAATACTATCTGTAGGTCCCCTCACACCCAGTCCCCCAATACTATCTGTTACCTCACACCCAGTCCCCCAATACTATCTGTATTACCTCATACCCAGTCCCCCAATACTATCTGTATCCTCTCACACCCAGTCCCCCAATACTATCTGTATCACCTCACACCCAGTCCCCCAATACTATCTGTATCACCTCACACCCAGTCCCCCAATACTATCTGTATCACCCTCACACCCAGTCCCCCAATACTATCTGTATTACCTCATACCCAGTCCCCCAATACTATCTGTATCCTCTCACACCCAGTCCCCCAATACTATCTGTATCACCTCACACCCAGTCCCCCAATACTATCTGTATCACCTCACACCCAGTCCCCCAATACTATCTGTATCACCTCACACCCAGTCCCCCAATCCTATCTGTATCACCTCACACCCAGTCCCCCAATACTATCTGTATCACCTCACACCCAGTCCCCCAATACTATCTGTATTACCTCATACCCAGTCCCCCAATACTATCTGTATTACCTCACACCCAGTCCCCCAATACTATCTGTATTACCTCATACCCAGTCCCCAATACTATTTGTATCACCTCACACCCAGTCCTCAGAGCACCATCCACTCATTTACAGTCCTGTACTCCCAACACCATCCACTCACAGCCCTGTACTCAGAGCACAATCCACTCACTTACAGTCCTGTACTCCCAACACATCCACTCTCA